AGAGAGAGAGAGAGAGAGAGAGAGAGAGAGAGAGAGAGAGAGAGAGAGAGAGAGAGAGAGAGAGAGAGAGAGAGAGAGAGAGAGAGAAGGGGTGGGGGAAGGAAATGCAGGGAGAAAGGGATAGAGGGAATGCGAGAGGAAAAGAGAGTGGGAGAGAGACTGAGAAAAAGAACGAGGCAGAGAGAGAGAGAAGAGGTACCTCAGCTTCTCGTTGTAAATCTCCACCATGCTCAGTGACACTGTGTAGCTCCAGGAGTCGGCCATTCGCTCGTCGATCTCATCGAACAGCTGCTCCAGTGCGCGCTGATTCATGCCAGGGTCCTCAGCCGTGCCCTGCGATATTACAACAAACATCATAATATGATCAACTCTCTCACTCTCTCTCTCGTCTCTTCTCTCTCTATCCCTTTCTCTTTCTCACACTCACACTCTCCGTTCTGTCTCTTGTTCTTTCTCATTCACTTCTCGCTCTCGCTTTCTCTCTCTTTCTTCCACTCATCTCTTTCTTTTTCTCTTTCCCTCTCCCTCTCACCTTGTAGGTATTGTACAGCGTGTGTGTACGAACAGGTGAATCAATTCGTTATCTTACGCGTATTGCAAATAACAATCGTGGCCTTCGTGCGAGCAAAATCACTCAAAGCACCCACTTACCTCCATCGTGAACGTCTTCCCAGATCCAGTTTGCCCATACGCGAAGATGCAGACGTTGTATCCATCAAGACAGCTGACGACCAGTGGCGCCACCTCCGCAAACACCTGCAACAATTAATTAAAATTTGAGTTTTGAATTCGAATCACGTATGGATAACTAGAAAGGGCAGTTGTCGCCAACTACATGTATCCCCCGTGATCTAGTATGAATGAAATATCTCTGTAAAGACGTAGAAGGTAGGTAAAGTTAAATAAGTCACAAAGACAAAGGTTTGTTACACAACTCATCTTCCTGAGATGTGCAAGTATATGTTAAAATTGGTTGCCTTAAGGGTTTTGGTATGCGACACACCTTCTCCCCAAGATGTGTAAGTATACGAAGTTTGCTCGTGCTAGGTCAATTATGGGCCGAGTTATAGAGCGGAAGGGAAATATGATGAAGGTCAAGGTCAAGGTCAAATAACGGTTGCAGTGACCTGGTTTCGGTACGCTGCGCACCTTCTCCCCAAGATGTGTAAGTATACCAAGTTTGGTAGCGCTAGGTAAATTAGGGGACGAGTTATAGAGCAGAAGGGAAATATGATCAAGGTCAACGTATAGGTCAAATTAAGGTCGTAGTGACCTGGTTTTGGTACGCTGCGCACCTTCTCCCCAAGATGTGTAAGTATACCAAGTTTGGTCGCGCTAGGTCAAGTAAGGGTCGAGTTATAGAGCGGAAGAGAAAGTGTCTGCGGCGGCGGCGGCTGGACAGACATGAAACCATAGTATCCCCGCAGACTTCGTCGCGGGGGATACAATAATTATTGCAGTGACATTCTCTAAATGGCGTTGTACAGTAAATATTGTTTTTTTTTGTAAAAGCATCAACACAGGGTCATGTCACAGTACCGACACACTGAGTTCTTGCCACAATTCACTCTTAATTCTATACACCACCTCACCAACTGCCCTCGCCTTAAACATACCTCCGTGTGTGTGCTGGATTGATTAAAAACCTTATCCAACCCAAACACACTCTCCCTGCCTCTGTGCAGCACGGTAATCAGGCCATCGTCATCAGCATCTGTTGTCACGACAACAGTCCCGTCAGAGTCACCAGCGTAGTCTTCCTTGATGACGGGTCTCACACGACAAAACACGCGGATGTTACCTAGTAAGCAGCAAAATAACGTGCTCGGTGAATATTCCCGCGAGTGTTGATGTTTTTTTTTCTAATCATGATGGCTCTATCAATGCTACGTGGGAGAGGAATGCGTGCGTAGCAACCACACACAAGTTCGTTCATTATGGGAGTGACAATATCACCACATATGTTAGGTTTGTGTCCCCATACGTTTCCAAAATTCTCATTAACAAGATGCTGTATTGGCCATAAACTGTTGTTTAATTATTACCAACATGGTATTATTCACGTTTTGACGCAGCTGTCAGTTATCGTACTACTGTTGATACACACACACGTGCATGCACGCACACACACACACACGCACGCACGCACACACACTCACGCACACACACGCACACACACACACACGCACGCACGCACACACACTCACGCACGGATGCATGCATGCACACATACATGTACCTCGTATCTCAACTAGCTCATTGTGATACTTCTTCCGCAAAACCATTTCCTTCTTATATTTTCTGACTAGATCCCCATTGTAGCTGCTCAGATTGGAGATGGCTTGCATTATCTGGAAGATAGGGAGGAAAATAATATTTAATTCTGCAAAACAGACTGAAGTGCATTAACCTTATTATTTTAGTAAAATATCAAGCTATCTAATTGTAACTACTATGAAAAACAGCCATTGCTTAAAGCATAGGAGTTTATGTTCGCAAGAGGATTCATAGACCCATGAGAATTAAGAGTAATATTATTTTTAAATGAATTCAAATACATCCACCTGGTAATGATAGTTTCGACTACCGATCAAGCTGTCTTTGTCAAGTGGACATGAAGTTGCATGGACTGATCACAGCTTAACAAAAACAGCTAGACCGGTTGCCGATAATCGTTGATAACACGTAGATATGTTGGTTTTGTCGTAAAATAAAATCACACTTGACATGATCATGAATTCCACCACTACCGGAAGGTCGATTCACTCGTTGTGACTGTGGTTGCGAAGTGTGACAAAGAGAGTGCAGCGCAGCGTGCATCTACATTCAAGCGTGACCCTCTCTGACGTCACCCCGTATAATCTTACCCGATGAGACGTGTCTTGGATGGTCTCTGTCACGACTGCGGGCAGCATGCTGCACTCTTCCCTCAGTTGCCTCTGCTCCACCCTCATTGCAGCAAGCCTCGACCGTAGCAATGTGAGGCCATCCTGCACGCCAGCTGGCGCCATCTGCAGGTGGCAACTGGAAGTTTCTCTCTGCTGCTCTTGCAGGCGTTCTTGCATCGCTTGTATCGCCTCTCCACGCTGTGGCGACGACGAATGTAACAGTACCCGTAAACATATAATCTATACACGCGTAAGTAACAGGGCCACGAAATCACCCCAATTAGAAATGGTCTCGCGCAAAGGAAAATCTTTCTTTAGACATGAGTGCGTTTATATAAGCTATACTTCCAGCAAAAAAACAGCAACATTTTTTGCCTAACCCTACTGACCCAGCTACAAAAATTCTCAATCAGGTTACGGCAAACGGGAAAAATAAAATTAAAACGAGTTTCGTTTCAACGTTAAAATATTCATGTGCTCGTCTGTCATGAACTCATAGTAAACTTAACGAGATTATGTGACGAATTCCGGCAGCAAATGTCATGTTACCATCGCTTCCACGTGGCGCAGCGCCTGTATCTGTAGAAGGGCGCCCGACAGCTGCTTCTGCAGGTGATGTCTCTCAGCCAGCAGCTGTGCGACCATCTCATCTAGCTGCCTCTTCTCCTGAAGTTCGGCGAGGGTCTGGTTGCAACCCTCCTCCAGTTTACCCCTCTCCGTCTTCAGCGACTCCCTCTCCTCGTCCCACGCCATCTTCTCTTCCTCGAAGCGCGCCACAGAGGCTTCAGTTTCTTCTCGCAGCGAGACGCACTCTTGTTTCGCTCGCTCCCGCTCAGCGTCGCTGTCTGCTGATCTCGCTCGCGAAACCGCGGCCTCCTCCTCAAGTGAGCGGATTCTCGCCTTGTAGTCTTCTCTCCTCTGCTTCCACTGCTGCTTCTTCTCCCGGTACTGCTCGGCGTTGAGCTTCCTCTCTTCCTGCAGAGCGCTCAGCTTCGAGCGGAGAGACTCGCACTCCCTGCCGAGTGCGGCGGCTTCCTTCCTTCCGCCGTCAGCGCGCTCCCGAAGAGAAACCTTCTCCGATTCAATCGCGCCGACCTTCTCCTCAAAGCGCCGCGTCTCCTCCTGCCAGGTCCTCTTCCAGCCTTCGTACAGCGTCGACACCTCGTCCAGCGCGTCTCTCTCGCGCTGCAGTGTTGCCACCTGGCGGGCGAGATCCCGCTCTCGATTGTCGCGCGCGGCACTCTCTGCATGTGCCCTCTCCTCGAGCGCGTCCCGCTCGCGCTGCAATTCTGCGAGCTCCCCCGCCAGCGCGCCCTGGCGGGCATCACACGTGGCTTGCTCGTCGTCGCGCGCGCTCGCCTCGCGCTCCAGCTCGCCAACCCTTCTCTGCAGGTTGCCTCGCTCGGTGATGAGCAGCGGCAGGCGGGAGCAGCTCGCGTGCACCGTGCGCAGGTCCGCACGCAGTCTCCCCTCCCTTGCCACTCTGTCCGCCTCCTCCTGCCGCCAGCGCAGCCTCTCCTCGCTCAGCATCGCCTCGAGCTCCTCCCTCCGCGCGTGCGCCTTCTCGGCTTCTCTCTCGGCGTGCGCGACCGCCTCCTCCCTCTGCTTCGCTTTGACCTTCCCTCGCGCGAGCTGCCGCGTCAGCTCGGCTTTCTCGCGCGTCGTCCGCGCCGCGTCGGCTTCCCGCGATGCCGCCTCCGCCACGAGACGCTTCCTCTCCGCCGCATGATCGCGGATCTTCGCGCGGGCATCCGCGAGCGCCCTCTTCCGCTCCTCCGCCACGTCGACGCAGCGTTGAAAGGCTGTCGCTACGCCAGCCGCCTCCTCCGCGGCCGCCGCCTCTCTCGCCGCCGTCTCCTCCCTCGTTTGCTCGGAGTGCGCACGCAGCACAGCGCATTCGCTCTCCGCTACCTCTGCCGCGCCCTCTCTCACCCGAGCGTCGTCGAGGTCGGTCTGCAGCTTCCGTATCTGCATGAGGAATCGCGCGATGCTCTCCTTTGGTTTCGGCGTCGCAGGCCTGCCAGCTTTCTCTGCGTAAAAAGGGGAAGAAACAGCGCAGTCAGGTGACATTGCGATTGCAGTTGACATTTGTGTTTTGTTAATGTGTCGCGCAGCAGCGATGATAAGTTTGATTTAAGGATTTCACTCGCTACCTAACTCATTTTTCTTTTGGGGGGTTTCCGTTGAGTCGAGTGGCAGTTATAGAGTGAACCCACCTCAGTAGAGCAAACAGCTGGCTATAAAGAACGTTTTTTTCAGTTTAGCTAGAGCGACATTTACATACAGCATTCACTGCACTATGACATAACACGTGAAATAACTACAGCGACGAAGCGAGCAAACGTCACAACACCGACTCGCAGTACACTCACTCTTCTTTCCGTCGTTCGCCGCCGCCAGCAACTCCGTCAGCTCCGAGACGGTCGTCTCGAGGTTTTCGATGAGTATCTGTTTCTCTCCCAGCTGCAGTCCGAGCGTGCGCTGCGTCACCTCCAGCTTGGTGTCCGCATTGCAATCAAGTGCAACAAGAGCAGACGCCTGCAAGGTGCGACATCTCTCCTGTCTCGCCTGCAAACACAAGAACGCTCCTCGTGTGGCCATATTGTCGACAATAGAAATTATTTAACACTACGGTGCAATCGATTGGTTGAAATTAGTTATTTGTTTCAATTAAGTATTATTGATGATCTGTCATCATGAAATTATAGATGATGAAACTATTTTTGTTATGCGTGGAATAATGCTTACTTTAATATCATCAATTAGTTGTTTGTCTTGTTCAGAAGCCATGGTCACAACTTCTGTTCTTCTTTCTAGTTGCTGCTATAATTTGCACAGATATGCAGTTACTATCAACTAGAGCCAGAAGATCACTTTAGCTGGTTTCTCTGAAATTAAATTAAACAGAATATTTTGACGTGTTGTGTGTTCAACTTGCTAAGACATATATCAGATTCTACCACTGTATGTCCTGAGACCAGATCAAAATATAGAAAGGGTTTACGTTATGTGAGTGGCGTGAGGTGTGTATAGTTACAACTTACAGTACCTACGTCAGTAGTAACGACGTGGATATTCGTCCGAGCATCGGACACCTGTTCGTATGCGCTATTCGTCCGAGCAGTTGTTGATGTAGCGTGCCCCCAGCCAATTTTAAAATCTAGACGCTCTAAATTTTATTATATTATATTATATTACTTATTACTATTAGGCTTATATTTTGCCCTTTAGGCTTTTTGCCTTGCGTTTTGCTACGCAGCCCTATGGCTGTGACGCCCCTGCATACATGCGTTGCGCATGTGGTTATACACCATAGATAGTGTTTGGTATACAAACATAGGCGTATATAGTGTTTGGTACTATCATTCGCCTATATAAGCAAACCGAGTCGGTTAATAATTAGTGGTAGGTTTAGATTGTGGTTAGTATTAGAGTTAGGTTAGATTTAAATAATTAGTGGTAGGTTTAGATTGTGGTTAGTATTAGAGTTAGGTTGGAGAGTAGGTGACTCCCTAAACTAGCATTATATTACATTTATGTAATACAACATGAACAGCGCATGCGCAGCAACTGCTCGGACGAATAGCGCATACGAACAGGTGTCCGATGCTCGGACGAATATCCACGTCTCAGTAGTAAATGTGTGGTGGTGCAGGAACTTCACTAAATTACTTGTGAATGATCTGGCTCTACCTGAGTAGAAACTTGTGCAGTTTCAATAATAAAATGATAATAAACACGAATTATCGATATAAAGTTACTTTAGCTTTTCCTACGCGTACGCCCCGGACGCGAAGCAATCGTAATGTGAGTTTGTACACACTGCTATTGCCATTGGCGTGACTAGATGTCACTGTCACTGTCAGATAGATAGTAGTAGTAGTACTAGTACTAGTAGATCTAACGACGACTCCTGCCGCCCGGGCGACGGTAAATAAAATTGAAATATCACAATATCTTCAGTACTGAAGTGTAATCTACGTAACGGGAGCAAAGATGGTACAATATTACTACACTGGTTTCTTAATCTATGCAATACGAGAGAGTAGGCCTACCCGTGATCACCAAAAAGCAAGTACACTGGTATTTCAAATCGCCGCGCAAGCAAAAGTGTTTTCTTCAAGCTCTCATTAGACTAGTGCGAATTCTCTTCACTCCGTAAAGAGAACTATTGGCTATAGGCCTATTTGATAATCGAAGCGGCGTAGGGTGATGATCTATTTAACGCTTTCTTGCATCGCCATCTGTCGACGAAGTATGTAATAAATCAACAATATACATGTGGTGACGTCATCACTTTTATCGGGAGCGTCATTTTCATCGATGACGATGTGTAATTACAGTTACACGGTTACACCGCACACGAATGAAATGTAAAGTACGTGAAATCAGAAATGTAAATTATATTTATATTACTGATAGTAATAGTAGTAAAGTGTGACTATAAAGATAGTCGGGTGTCATGGCCCATTATTTTCTGTTGTTCTTGTTGGTTAATTACAACTTGCAACTATTGAACTAAACTAAAGACGTAAAAGTAAAATCACAACATAGTGAAAGTAGGGAACTTGTGAGTTGTGGCTAAACATAGATCAACAATCACTATCAGTATCACTGTCACAGGCACTTGTGACTTGGGACATAGTCAGTAAAAACTGAAAATAATATGAACGCACATTCACAAATACTACCGTACCTCTCAATTACAGTTCCACTGTTGTGTCACTGACACTGTACTGTCTGTAGGCCCTATATCATTTTTCCTTCATAAAAACTAACGCCGAAGCTCCCGCACTTGCCGGTGCAAGTGTGCTGTCGCCATTATAAATTTATAATGATAATAATATCTCTATATATTATTATCATTATAATGGCGACACAGCACACTCGCAGCGGCGAGTGCGGGAGCGTTCGGCGTTGGTTTTTATGAAGGAAAGTTGATATACATTGACACAACAGTGTAACTGTAATTGATATTGAGGTACGGTAGTAGGGCTGAGAGGGTCTATGTCCCCCGGGGTACTGCCGGAACGTACCCTGGGTACGGTCCGGAACGTCCGGTTACCGGTATACCGGAACGTACCCTGGTACTATCTAATATGCCGGACCGTACCTCGCCTACTACACTAACGAGTCTAGGGAGTCGCCTACGCCTACTCCCTAACCCTAACCCTAACCCCAACCAACCCTAACCCTAATCCTAACCCTAACCATATATTATAGTGACCAGGGTAACGTTCCGGTATACCGGACCGTACCCAGGGTACGTTCCGACAGTACCCTGGGGGACATAGACCATATGAGCGGTAGTAGGCCCTATTTGTGAATGTGCGTTCATATTATTTTCAGTTTTTACTGACTATGTTCCAAGTGCCTGTGATCACTGTACGTATCACTATATCAGTGACAGTAAAAATAGTCAGTATCAGTAAAGACAGTAAATTTATGCAGTATCATGTCTAAGAATTGTTATGTATGTACTGTAGCTCGCACCGAATAATCTCGCTATATACTAGTCCATGTACTCTCTATATCGCCTAGTCATTTTACGTAAATGCTGTTCGCATGCTCTTCTACAAGTACAATGCACAATCTTGCGGCATGCATGTCACTGACACTGTGCACAAACTCACAAAAGGATAGGAACAAGGTATTTTGTTTCTCTAGAATGGCCATCATTATTATGGAATGACTGCAGTACATTCCCATATCAAGTGTACTTTTTTACTTTATAAAGCTTATTCTTAATAGTCCAAGGAACTGTAGTGTAACAAAGGAGGAGAAAGCCCACCATTGATCATTTTGACAGATTCATGCTGCAGAATACACTGGAAAAGGTTGATTATTAACTGTAGAGAGGAAAGCATAGGGTTCCAGTATGAGATGGTAGAAATAGTGAACACTTTCAGATTATTACACTTTAAAGAATGGGAGTTTCATACTTTAGTAAATTTATGTTACAGAATAACCTATGCCATGTCTGCTGCATCAATGCACTGGGGAGGGATCCCTGTAGCGCCATCTAGCAGTGTGGAGAATGTCACAGCCAGCGTTCAAGGAAAACAGCCAATAATGGAAGCTCTAGAGGTTGAGGGTGCACGCCTCCATCAGCCATCAAGCAAACATAGTTTCACCTCAACTGGGTGAGTATTCTGGTCATGCACGTTGGGTTTGTTTTAGCTGTGCATCGTCATGCAAAACAAATTACCAACAATTGCATATTTCTATGTACTTGACCATTGACCACAAATGCTGCACACGCAGGAGAACTATGTATAATGTTATCTTGGCTTTTTCATTTCCTAGGGACTCGCCGGTGATATTTGGCCTTGATGCTGTTACAGAACACACCCTCAAACTGATGGAATATGCACATAAACTTGGCGCAGCAATCGCCGCGACGCAACAAGGAACAGTGGTGATTACTATGTCTAGAACCCTGTGTTCTGCTAGCGTATTGCAAGCAAAACTTTGAAGTCTCCAACAATATTTGTTTTGAAATCGGTAATGTATTTATAATCGTCTTGGCAATATTTGGTCTGTGCAGCAGGATGAAAGTGATTCTGTCTATGGAATTCACCAGTCTATGCCACACATCTCAGAATTTCCCAATAGTAATAACCAGAAGAGGAAAGGAGATCTTGATTCAGAGAAACAGTCAGAGAGGTAAGAGTCCTGAATAACTTGAACAAAACATCACACAAATTTAAAAATTGGTAAAAAATATAGAATTAGCAGTAAAGTGTCGAATTGGTTGAGGTTTTACTGGTATCTGTTTGCTCTAAAATAATACTATATTCTGCAGTTTCGATTAATAAATAAATGATAAATATCAATCCATTTTCTGACAGTATATATTTCTTGTGTAACCTAATGTGATCTTTTTAGTTTATCTCATGATGTCAGCAATGCAACAATCACTCTCAACAGCACAACCTTGAGAAAGTTGCTTCGGAAGTACGTGGCAGGCATAACTGCACAAGTAGGATACAGTAGTAAGTGCAGCAACTGTGACAGCTAATTGGATTTTATGATAATATAGGAGTTGTGTTTTTTATAATGTCCGTGTATTGGACCTGTTACCAAGACCTTTGACAATTGGTCTTGGTATATTTGTGAAGCTGAATGAGGTTGCTTGAAGTGGGCACTAGTTGGCAGTAGGTGACAATTAAGTATGGCCACCTAGTGACAAACTCGAGCAACTTTATCCAGCCTACAAAAGCGCTTGGACCCGTTGTCTAAAAATTGTTGCTCACGGCGAACGGGTCATTGACATGAATTCATCCAAAATTAAACCAGGTACGACAGAGTCAGTGCTGGACACACTCATGGATGTCTGCCAGGAATATCTGACACAGATGACGCAAGCGTTGGCCAGGGCTGTGGAAAGAGAAGCTCTCACTGGCTTCACTGGCTTTCCTGTACGTATATAACCCTCTATTTGCTTCGTCTAGAAGTCGACACCATGAAATATGTTTACAGCATCTACCTAGCAGCCAAAGCTGGCTTTAGTAAACGAAGTCCCAAATCAAATTCCACATTTCAAGGGCCTCCTTTTAGTAAATATTGCTGTGCTGCCATGCGATTAGAAAGTTATACGATACCTGCTGTTCAACTCTGGATTTCATACAATTCTTTCAATTTAAGGTTTTACATTAAATTCTTGTTTACAATCGAGATTTACAAAATCGCACTGGACTTGCAGTCTGACATAGACAGAATTTCTTTTTTAATAAAAACTCGGATGCATTTATATCAAGAGTACATAATAGGAGACTCCTATTATGTACTCTTGATTTATATTTACGCGTGTCTCGATCAGGACGTGCTGGAGAGAGTGTTTCACGAGATGGGCATGGGCAGCATGCGCAATCTGCAGGGGTTCTACCGGTGCAGGGTGCTGGGGCAGCAGGACAACATGACAAAGACCTGCACACGGCTACTGGAGCAGTCTAACGAGATTCAGGCGTCGCAGCCGGACCACGGCCAGGTGGGCGAGGCTTGGAGACTGACAAGGTCAGAGAGAGACGAGGGGAGAGAGAGAGAGGCGGTGAGAGGGAGGGAGAGTGAGAGAGAGAAGGGGGGAGAGAGAGAGAGAGAGAGAGAGAGAGAGAGAGAGAGAGAGAGAGAGAGAGAGCATTTGGGCATTTGAGGGAGAGAGAATTAAAGGAATTTTATGCCTTACAACTTGTGTTAGTTTTCTTATCGTAAATTGTTCATTGCAATGGCTCTTCTTTTCTCGTTATATCAATTTAATTATCTCATTATAACAAGAATAGGTTTTGTTATACCGACATAGTTATTTCGTTATACTGAGAAGAGGCAGACAAAATTGTTTTTTTTCTCATAAGTCCTGCACTTCACACTTATTGCAGTCTCCAACCATTCCTCATTCTGCGGAATCATTACGATTTCTATGCTTAATTTTCGCAATCCGCAGCGGCAAGGTTATATTCCTCATTTCAGTTGCACTGTACAAAATTTGGACTGATTGTTCGCATTGTTTGCTTGGACACATTGTTTTTTTTTCAGCTGGTGCCTGAGCACTGGCCACGCGCTGGTGCAGTGGAGATGCAGCAAGTTTATTAATAGCGCTCACTGCACAATTCGTTTCCTGGAAATACACACTCATAGTGTTGATTGGGCAGTCATAGTAACGGAGGTAGACTCGGGAGAGAAAGAAAGACACAACACTACTGTTTTATTACAGGGTGGACGGATCGATAGACTCTCGTTTTATTTTACTCTGTAGATGCCGCCACTGTACGGGCTGTACATTTATCATACAGGGTGAACGGAGCAAGAATAAACTACACTAAGTTTACACTCTAACATTACCTTAGCTTTGCACCCCCCCCCCCACCCTACTATCGCTCAGTGTTATAATTTCTATGCATTTTGTATCTGGCATGTCTACGGTAAATGGAACAGCCTAGTCAGACAGGCGCTGTCTGCAATGTGTCGCATAATTTGTCTGCTAATCAGACAAGGGTTGTAGGGTTGAGTCTAGGGTTGAGATAGTGTCATCAGACATGAGAATATGGCCCACAGTATGCCTCACATTGCAGGAAAATGGCTTAAATATTTCAAAATTTTCTGGGGGGCATGCCCCCATACCCCCCTAGAACTGGCATACCTACGGCACGCGGGCCTGCCTGCGGCAGCCAAGGTACATTTCGCCCCCCCCCCCTGTCCATCAATTTCTGAATACGCCACTAGTTAATGTTCACCGCGGGAACATTCCGCATTTGGAGTTCACAGGGTTGGAGACCCTGTTTAAATGTTGTCACCAATTTTATTCCATGAACTTCATTTTATATCTTGTGTAGCACATGAATATATATTAAATATTAATAAAATATAAGGCTATCAAAAAATTCTATTTAATTTCGGAGGAATTCAAATAATATCTGTCTTGAGGTACAACATGTTGTGAATTGCATTATTTAATCGATATAAATAATTCATTTAATATTTATATAATATTTGCTTGAAGGATTAAGGATGAGCCAGTGGCTGATATTCAGTTCCCGGCATCTGAAGACAGTGCTGAGGAAACGAGTGACCAATCCGAGAACCTTCAATCACTAGATGGACTAGGTGTGTTGGTTCTTGCGTACCTGCATGTGTGGTTGCACGTGTGTGGTTGCTCATGCTGTCCATGTCCATGTTCATGTTCATGTTCATGTTTGTTGTGTTCATGTTGTGTCATGTGTGTTCATGTAATGTTAAAAGTCAATAAGTTTAATAACTTAATATAATAACAACAAGTTTAATAATATTAACTTTTATAATATATATTTAACATTATATGTATATCTACAGAAAAGTTGAACGCACCCAAATGTATAACTAACTGCATGTGTTTTTTTAACACTGCATGTTCAGGTAATATAGAGACAACCATAGAACATGAGACGCCGACTGCTATGCAAGATCCCCCTGTGGTGAAGGAGGAAGTGATGGAGGGTGCAGCAGAAGAAGAGAAGGTCACAACTCACAACATTATTTCAATCAAACAGGAGGAGCCCAGTGGCAGGTAGCTACGTCTCAGAGTTGCATGTGCTGCAAGTGATGCTGAAAGATGTGGTAACTCTACCATGCTAATTGAATAAAGAAGATGAGGTTGAGATATCGAAATAGCTAGGTGTGGTTTCAGGAGATATAACTGAATAATTTTCAATTCATAGTTTGGACAGAGTCACACAGAACATGATCGTTGTGACATGAATAAACGTATCAAAATATGAAGGCTAGCCTCGTTAGAACGCGTACTGTAGTATCCTCTTGGCTCATGAAGTGTTGAACAGCTATCGAATTGAAAAATTGCAGGTTTATGATGGAGCGCTAATAACCTTCTGCAGTAATGTCTTGTGTTTTTTCTGTTATTTATAACCGATGTCAACCTGTTTTTTGTAAGTAATTACCAACACTGTCTACATGTTTGTTATCATTATTTCAACCTCTGAATGTTGATGAAGATCAAATGAGAAAATATTGCATGTATATTGTATTGTAGTGGAATACACAATACAATATACAAGCAACATCTCTTTTGTGTTTTTTACTTTTTTACACTAGGACTTTGGATGTGGATGAAGATCTGCTAAGTATTGCTGATTCGGTGGGCGTGTCACTGGTGGAGCCTGAACACCAGCAGCCACTCACTCATGCACTACAGAACCAGCACCAGCAGTATAATCAGCAGCAGCAATACCATCAGCAACAGCAGCAGCATTTTCCCCAGCAACAGCAGCAGCAGCACCACCAGCAGCAGCAGGAGCAGCAGCAGCAGGATAACCAACTGCTGTCCATGCCAGATCTGCTTGGTCAGCCGTCGACTGCCACACGACCGCATCCCATCGCTAAGAAACGGTGAGGATGCTGTACGCAGCATTAGTGCTTCTTTCGGAGGTTACACTCAGTAAAATTAATTTTAATTATTAATTTTAATAAAATACCATTTTGATTTATTAAAATGGACAGGTGTGTTTTGATATCAATATGATACAACCTTTTGTTGTTACTATCTATCATATTTTGTTGGGAAATACAGTTTAGTTTTCACCTCAGTGTGGTAGTTGTATATTTTTGCACAATTTTTACAAGGGTGTTGATCCAACTTCTTATAACGTTGATATTAAACCATAAATATTTGAGATAAACGAAGGCGTACTTGGTCGTCTATCTATTTTGTTCACATTCTGTGTATGGCAGTAGGAATATGTGACTGCTAAGCACAAAACTACGTACATGATAACTTGAGTCATGTATGAAGTGGATGCAGTTGCTGTTCATTGTAAGAGCGTGAGTGGATGTTTTCTATCACTCTAACGTTGGTTATTTCTTGTGTTTGTTTAGGAGGAGAATGTAGAAATCGGTGACAATATCACAGACTGGATGCAAAGGCACACTACTCGCTTGTGCTCATTGTGTCACTTATCTTTTGTCATTTCTCTCGCATAACATTTGCGTGGAATGTGACTATTTATCATGCTAGTAGCATAACTCGGTTGCTTACCATCTTTGCCATTGCATTAAAATCGTAGGTTGATGGTAACATGAATGCTTAGAGTATTGTTTCAAAAATATAGGTGGATAGGTTGGTAGAAAATACAGAGAAGTGTTAAATGTAAAGAAAGAAATAGTGGGGAAAGAGGTTGAGAGAGAGAGAGAGAGAGAGGCGAGGGAAGAGGCTGTGTAGACAGGAAGAGAGAGAGAGGCGGGTGTGAAAGAGATACGGATAGAGACAGAGCAATTAATAGAAAGCTGTAAATAATAAATCCTGTAAATAAACGTTGCATTGCTAAGCCCTGCCTTTGTGTTTGTACTTACAATTAATCTATGCATTGCGAGTGATTAATCTGCATGATAATAGTGGATCAATTTAGCCTGTCGTCTGTTTCTCTGCTTATTTACATTCTGCTCTCCTCTGCTTTTTTTATCCACTACTTCCCACTCTACCTTCTCACCTTCTATATTTCCCCCTCCTTTATCTCACACACCTGCTCCATCTCGTCTACATTCTCGCTGTGCCCTACCTAATTACTTTCTCTCACTTTACGTTTCATATGGGGCAACAATGTTGTGCTACAAAAATGTAAGAAATCCATTTCTGCTGTAAATTCATACTCCCATTTTCTCGAACATCATTTTAATTTACTTTTGGCGATAGATGGCGGGACGATCTCTTAAGTTACGTGCATTACCCGCGAGCGAGGGAGCGAGCGAGCGAGGTAAATAAACATCCAGGAAAAATATGGGGTATATATATACGCGCGCGCACGTCCTACATGCCCCCCCCCTCCCACACACACACACACGCACGCGCGCGCCACACATCCACGCGCGTGAGTTCGCATGTCACGTGCGTGTGTGTGTGTGTATGTACGTACTGCATTTTTTCTGGATGTTTACCTGACTTCGCTTCCTGCCAGATGTCATATGCTTCCTGTCATATCCTGGTCATATGTGTGAGTGAACCTGCACTAGCGACACTTTTAGGCTTTCACGACAACCGTCTAAGTTACGACTGGCTTATAGCTTAATACGTGTTTAAATATGAGAAGCGCGTCAGTATCAGCCTTTCTAGCTATCTGGGTGTTATATTTGTCGATATCGATAAACATTGAGTCGCACGTGCCTGAGATATGATAACGTATTATGAGTGACCACATGCTCTCTGCGAGATGTAATGCGAAATTAAAGCTGAACTGCCACTAAATTAATCGGCTCATACATGAGATTTCCTTCCTATCACACCCCCCATAACATGTCACCAGGAGTGGATAATAGAGATATTATATCTCTATTATCCACTCCTGATGTCATGGCATAAAAAAATATCTCTCCCCCCAAAAATAAACCTGAACAACAAATAAAACTACACGCTATACCATTACTGTTGATATTTTGTACGTGCGAACACTCCATGCATGATCATGCAGGGTTATATTCAAGGTTTCGTGCGGCAAACGATTTAATTGTGATAGATCCGGGTAAATTTAATAGGAACTTTAAAATGGCTGATCATACTATTTATTAGACAAAATTTCAGAAAACACATTCACTTATTCTCGTGCTCTATTTCATATGGCATGCATATGGGACTCACACGTGCTACGAAAAGAATGCCTAGGAAGACTGATGTGATGATAGTATATCTTTAATTAAAGGCCGCCGCACACCAGCCGATTTTTACAAACGATGAAGCGATGAAGCGATGTAGGTGTGCGCGTTCATTTGTAGACGATTTTATTGTTATCGGGTGATCGTTCCAAAATCAAACATGTTTGATTTTGAACCGATTATTTGGACGCGATTTTGTGGTGTGCGCGTGACCTCAGGAAAATCGTGTGCGATAAATATTGAACAGCCAATAGCTGAATGTGCCCGTGTCACATGACATTCACCTTGCAGAAATTATCGTAGGTGTGCGCCGCACACCTACATCGCTTCATCGCTTCATCGCTTCATCGTTTGTAAAAATCGGCTGGTGTGCGGCGGCCTTAAGTGATAATCCTTGAATTCTACAGCGTAGTGACAGGTGCATAAGAAGACTGATTTGATCAGAAGGCACAGCACGGTTAAATACAAGTGTAAAACGTATTATTTTTTAAGGATTAACAAGTCTATTTACTCTTCAAGTCGGTCAAGTTTGTCATGATATGAAAACACCACTAGACAACAGGTGCAGACGGAGATAAGAGCAAGATAACACTACAACAGCTGTTATACAGGATTTGTTTTCTGATCGGTTAGGTTTTAAGGCCTGAAGTTATACGTGCGCGTGCCATAATTGCTAAAAGACATTCATCGTAGTGACCATGGCGTGGTTACCTATTCTAGCGTGCGTGCTCACATGCACAACAGGTAAGTTTAATCGTAATTAATGCGTCTACTATAGGTACGTGCATGTATATCTAAAGAGAATTATCTCAGAATTATCTGGGAGTTTTCATATGAGCGCGTATATGTGGTGCATGCGCGCGGGTATGTTCATACGTGCATTTGTGCGTGCGTGCGTGCGTGCGTGTGTGTGTGTGTGTGTGTGTGTGTGTGTGTGTGTGTCGTGTCTGTCTGTCTGTCTGTCTGTCTCCTCCCGTGTCGTCCGAGCGCGTCGTGTGTGT